CCTCAGTTTTCTCATCTGTGAAAGAGGCATAACAATGATATCCCCTCACGGGGCTGTACCAAGGGATCAAGTAAAGCACTGCAAATAAAAAGCTTGACATAGTGCCCATGCTACATAACTGCTTGCCATTGTGATACGTTTCTAGCCACATCCACAGCCTCTGGAGATGTGGGAAAGAGCAGAAATTGCAGTGATGGATCCCCTAGGTCCTTCCTGCTCTCTGGAGTAGACATTCAATATTCTAATAGGAGTAGAAGATGTACAAATGAGTGTGGCAGAGACACTTGTAGGGGAGGAAATAGCACGCACACCAGCACTGAAATGTGAAGGTCCTTTTGTATTAGGTACAGTACCTAACTCTGAACAGAAGAGTTGATGGATGGGGTAGGGGCAGGAGCAGCAGGAGGTACCCTTGGAAAGCTGGGTTGTCATAAGCAGGGGTGGCCAAATGACAAAAAGTCTGAAGCCAGGTTGTTTTGGGTCCAGTGTTATCTTTGATGCTGGTCTAAGTTTTATTATTCTAAGGAATAATCATCACTTCTAGGGACAGGACAGGGGAGCATCCAAGCAGGACCTTTCCATCCATTCACTTTTATTCATTCACTCAACATCTGTCCCATAATCGCAAAAAGCAAATGCCATTGGTCAGATACCCTGGGTGAATCACGGCCGTGAAGAACCTACAGCTGTGCAGGGTGGTGGTGGAGTAGGTGGGAAAGACTATCCAAGATAGCAGATAAGCCAGCGTCAGCCAGGAGGAAGGGGGATCAGAAGTAGGATGAAGTAGGTTTGGGAAAAGAGAAGAAAGGGGAAACGGGGGGTGGGGGAGAAACAGGAGGAGAAGGGTGGATCGTTGGACTGCTGTGAGAATGTCCTTGTGGGAAACTGAGTGCAAAGTCTGCGGACGTTTTGTTGGTTTGGTGGCAGGAAAAAAATTGTAAATATGCATGGTAGGCAAATACCTCATACAGAACAATATCCTGCGAGAGTGAATGTGAGGGCGCAAGAGAAATAGAGCGCCGAGTATCGGTGATGGTCCTGCCCTTGGGAGGAAGGCCAAGTGTATATTCAGGGCAGTTGTTGCCAGGGTCTCTAAGTCCCCGAGGCGTCTCCGAGGTCTGAGCCAGATGGGTCATGTGTGTCCTAACCTGGAACAAGCAGTTTTTATCAGCCTTCTTGTCCAAAGGAGAGAGGGGTGGCTGTCTTCCTTCGTGCTGAGCCTTCGACGGGGCTGAATGGCTGAGACTGTACACCGGTGCCCACAGATAGGTGTCTGTAGCTCCAGCTTGTCTCACGGAGCCACTTTCTTTTGGCTTTGCTGTGCCACTGGCTCCTCAGCACCATTGTGCACCAGTCCAGTGCCCCTTAGGAAGGGCATCAAGGAGGGTACAAGTGAGACCCTGACATGGTCAGGGACTCTTATTCGCTTGTAAGTTCCTCAGAAAGGAATCTAACAGGTAGAGCTGTTCAGATGAAGATATTGGCACATGCATGTAATCCCAGCATCTGAGAGGCTGAGTCAGGAGGACTACAGGTTTAAGGCCAGTTTGAATTATATGGTGGCATCCCATCTCAAAAAACAACAACAAAAAATAAAAGCTGGGCATGGTGGTGCATGCCTGTAATCCCAGCACTCAGAAGACTGAGGCAGGAGAATCACAAGTTCGAAGCCAGCCTGGGCTACACAGTAAGCCTGAACTACATAGCAAGACCCTGTCTCAAAAAATCAAAAATTAAAGTTAAAAATAGGTAAAATTTGGGTTCAGGAACAACGGTGACCTGATTGCCCATTAGCCATGACACCAAGTCCTCTCCCTTCCAATCCTCCAAGATGAGACAGTGGCATTCCACGGCCCAAATGACCATCTTCATGTGCCCATGACAAAGGTCTGGGGCCGGCTGAGCGGCAGCTCACTGACCCACCCACACTATCATCCCAGTCTCTTTCCAACCATCTTGCTCCAGCTCCCAGTCCTTGAAAGAACACTTCCCATGGTTCCTGACATTGTGACATCCTTATGGCCACCACTTTTGCCAAGTGAGCCTTCCAGGGCTGGCCTGGGAAAGCATTCCCGTTGTTCCTTGTGCCTCCATCTTGCTTGACAGGCTTGGATATGGTCTGGCTGCTCCAGCATCACCTAACCTCCTGCTTTCCCCCAAATCCCAGTTCCCCCTCCTCTTGGTCCCCTGCCCTGAGGCTGCTGGCTTATTCCTTTTGGAGACAAACTCATTGTTGACTTTAACTGGCTTCGATGTTTCCCAGGGAAGCATGCTGGCAGGAGGCCCACTCTAGCTCCTTGAAGAAGACAGCCAGGCAATGGCCAAGACTGGGTGCCAGGAGCCTTGGAACTGCCAAAATGCCTCCTATTTTATGGACAAGCCTGGCTCAACCTGAAGACATTCCAAGTGTTCAATCAACAGCCCACATTTCATACTGAATTGCAGAGGAAGTCCTCAGAAGCCACCCCTTTCAGGAGACAAAACAGCCGGAGGAAAGAGTGGGCCTTCTTCATGGATTGGCTGATGCTCAGCAGTTGGAAAAAATACATCCTGATAGTAGTAATCAATAGTCAAAGGCTGGCATCTGCTGGAGGCTTGCCTGAAGAGCCCTTGGGGACTGAGCTCTACCCTTTCCTGTCTGGCCAGGAATTCATCTCGCCCACCTCCCCGCACCGAGCCCCAGGAGGGAGAGCGAACAGGCCAGGCGAGGGAGGAACCATTTTTCACATACTTTCTCTTTCAAAATGTAGTCCTGTTTTGCAATTTCCTACTTAAGATCTGGAAGACTCTAGAGTATAACCCAAGCCACCTTCTTCAGCCATTGACGGGAGTCTGTCATAATGGTGGCCTCCAACCTGGTAGGCTAGGAGTGCCAGAGGAAGCAGGGCCTCGGTTTGCTAGTTTTCCCAGCATCCCCAGCACCGCCAGCTCATCCAAGGGTCTGTGTAGTACAGGACACTAACTCAGTGCTGAAGAAGCCTCGCCCAAACCTCCAGCCAAGTCTTGCTTATTCTTCACCCTGAGTTGGTTCTCTCCCTTGGGAAGGCCAGCAGGGACACCACACCAAATCGAATGCACCCAACTCCAGTATGTTAGGTCTGAGTACCCCGTTAGGCATCTATTCTTCAGATCTTTTTCACTCCTCTATGACTAGACTTTTGTTCTTGTTCACTGAGACCATACAGTGCTCCTGCCCTGCCCTTTTCAATGAATCCGTTTAGTCCCGCAAAATGCAACCTGTACTTCCTGCGTGTTTTCCCCCTTCCTAACGACCATTCACTAAAATGTTCAACTTAAATCTCATCAGGACCAGAAACTTGAGGTGTCAGGGATTTGTAACGGGGCTTGAGAAGCTGACCCTTTCTATAAATCCCCTGGCAATTGTTCTAAACCAAACCAGGGGGGGAGAAAAAAATCCCAGTTAAAAAACAAAGTCCAAACACGACCTCATCACCAAAATAGTGAAACGGAAAACAAATCCATACTCTGGAGACTTGGTCTGAAACATACCAGCACTAGAAGTGAGTAAGGTGGCCAGAAATGTGTTAGTCTGGGCAAGTCTGTGATATGGTAGAGGAAAAAACTAACATTTTACAAATAACGATGGGGCCAAGTAACAACCAAATACAGTCACGTGTTGTTTCTGTCTACAACCCTACATCTTGACAAAGATAGACTTCCCCTCTCCAGCCCTCATCCCCCAAAAGCACAAAGTTTGATTTCTGGACCAACTCTGGCTGCTTTCTGCCCTTACTGCCTCTGCCTCAAGTGTGATGCTTCTAGAGCTGTGAGCAGGTAAAGGCTCCATGTTGTGAGGCCCACAGTCTTCTCCAGCTCAAAAAGCAACAAAGTGAGACAGACACAGTAGGTCCACGGGCTCATCCCTCGTATTCAGGGCTGCACTGGGGACGCCTGGAAGCCTACGAGGCATCAGTATCAGAATCTCCTCTGGCCAGAATTTCCCAGATGTAGAAGCTGAGGTGTGGCATGTGCCTAAGTGGGCTCAGAACCTTCTGGAGCCACATCCTCCTTCTCTGAGCCGCCTGGAGCTCCAGGAGCAGCTTCATGGGGTTCAAGGAGGTGAAACAAAGACAGGTGGCTCAGAGCATCACCAAACTGACTCGGGTGATCAGGAGGCTCCAGCTCATCCCTGGACGCTGCTGAGTCTCTGGATTCTTGTTTGGGTGTTGTTTTAGCAGAAAGCTTTTTGCAGTGCCTCTCAATGTTGACTAAATACAAGAGGGGTCTTGTTACAAGGCAGATTCAGAGACTTTCCTGGGGTGGGGAATATTCAATATTCAATTTAGTTATTGGAAAACTGATGTACTCTTAAAATAACTTGGGTATGCAATTTTCTACTTTAACCTTAATTTTCATGAAGTCTAAACATAGATCAAATATTTCTGGTGAAAATTTGAGCATTCAAGTGAAGTTATGCTATAAATGTAAAAATACATGGAAAATGTTGAGACTTAGTTTAAGCTGGGAATGGTAGTACATCCCTGTAATCCCAGAACTTGAGAGGCTGAGGCAGGAAGATTACACATTCAGGGCCGGTGTGGGCTACATCCTGAATTTGAGGCTGTCCTGAAATACATACCAAGACTCTGTTCAGCACTTGGGAGGCTGAGGCAGGAGGATCACTGAGAGTTTGAGACGAGCCTGGGCTACATAGTGAGTTCCAGGTCAGTCTCAAAACTACATAGTGAGACCCTGTCTCAAAAACCAAAAAAAAAAAAAAAAAGACTTTCAAAAACAGAAAAATAAAAAGTCTTAAAAATGTAAAAAAAGAACTCTCAAAAAATTTTTATGTTGATTACATGTTAAAAAGATACTATTTTGCATATATTTGGATAGACAACCAATGTTTGGTTAAATTACGGCTACCAGAGGATTTTAAATTACACATGAGGCTCGCGTACTTCTGCCGGGCATGCCAGTCTAGAATGCTACTCCCCCAGACTTTGTCTTAAATCTTTCATTCGTCCTTCAGAGCTTGGCTCAGATACCACCCCCTCCTGAGAAAGCCTCACTGAGATGAAGTTTTTGGTTTGTATTTAATTGTATTCACATTCTTCCGGGCGTGCATGCGCCAGGATTTGCCTGCCCCAGCTCCATCTATCTGCAGTCATGCACTTATTGGTCTGATTCCTTGATGCAGACCTGTCTCTCCCACCGACCTCTAAGGTCCGTGAGAGCAAGGCCCAGAAGCCAGCCAGCCCAGCACGTGGACACCAGGATGCCACAGAAGGTTCCACTCACTGCCTTGCCTCTAACCGGCGGGACCATCCCCAACTGTTGCAGAGCGCTCTTCTTCGCCTACACTGACCTGCACAGCGTGTGGACTCTGCCCCTCCCAAATGGAAAGTGCTCCTTTGAGCTGGCCCTGGGGCTTTTGGTCCCCTTAGGAGGAATCAGAACAGTGCCTCTTGATCTCAGATACACACAGCAATCACGAGGAACGCTGTTAAATGCAGGTCCTGGTCCATGCTGTCCAGGATGGGACCCGAGACACTCATTCCTATCAAGTACCTGGTGACAATGCTACGTCGGTCCACAGACCACACTCCGAGTAAAGAGCGTGAAGAGGCCCTGGTTACCACCCCGAGAGTCTTCCTGAAGTTTTCCTCCTGCTCTGGACCCTCTGTTGCAGAGGCTGTTCAGGGTGTCTTGACATTCAGCCCTGCCACCACCCACTCCCATCCTCACAACCTGAAAAGGAACATGGTGCCTAAGTACTGTTGTCAATCGATTTTTTCTTTTTAATTTGAAATAAACCTTTAAGCAGTTTTTTTGAGTCAGGTCAGCCCTGATATGCATCACAGATGTGTTGGGATATTCTCCAAGGATAAAGTCACACAGCTGGTGTGCCGAACGGGGTAGGATGAGTTCTCCCGCAGCGGTCCTCAGGCCTTCGCTGGTCCACCACATGCGGCAGGTGCCATCCCAGTAGCTTCTCCAGAAAGTTCCACGCTGCCAGGTTTGGCTTTGGAGGCTGGGAAACGGTCTGACACATCCACTGTGTGCACTGTACGCCAGGTGTGAACTGCTGGGCCACTGGGTGGAAGCGTCTTCTGGTGGCCTCAGTTGTGTGTGCATGAGCACATGCGTGTATATGTCTGGTTGCACATGTGGACATGGCTGTGTGTGCATGCGCGGCTGGATATGCCCCCGAGGCTCCTGTTCTGGGACGCTTTCCTCAGGCAGAGCAGCGTGGGGTTCTTCGGCGTGGGCCTGGAGGCTGGATCCCATGCTTAGCTGGGCCCAGCAGATGTGAGTGGCCCCACTGTCCCTGGCTGTGGCTGCTGTGGCAGCTGCTGCTGCCCTTTGTGTCTTCGAGAGCTTGGGCTGGTCTCCTTGTTCTCCTTCCTCCTGGGGTTCCTGTTGGTGTTCTCCCGCCGGCCCTGGCCTCCCTTCCTCCTCTTCTGTCCTGCGACAACCCAGAAAGTGGGAAGAATCAGCAAGAACGTACAGAGACCCTGGGCAGGACAAGGACCCTGGGAGCAGGGCAGCAAGGAAGCCTGGTGAGGAGACCTGGAGACTCCGGTCACCACAAGGCCTCCTCCGACCAGGAGCCACTAGAAGCCTGAACAGCATGAGGACTGAGAGGCGGTCTGAGTCTCTTCTTTCCCTACCCCTCAGTGGACACCAAACACCCTCCCTTCCTCATGTCCTTCCCACCCTTTGGGTCTCTGTGAGCCTACAGTGCCTCCCAGCTGTTCAGGGCAGCTCAGAATAGGCTGTCCACCCCCCCACCTGTCACCTCTGGGGCCAGGCAAGGAGCAGCAGCGACCTCATTGCCAACTGCAGGCTGTGTGATGTTTGAATCACTGTACATCTGAGGCTTAACCCACCCCTCACCCGACCTCCAAGCATCCTTCTAGCGTGAACGTCCACCAGAAATGGGGGCACTGCAGGGATGGAGATCACAGGAGCTGCCAGCTCCTGCCACATGGTTCTGGGCACTGCTCTCTGTCAAGACACAGCCTCCAGCTTGGGCAGCATGAGGCCTGGAGTTGAGGACTCTTCATCTGGCCTTGTTATGAGTACTGGGCAGGCTGCGGAGGTGACTGGACCCCAGGGAAACAGAGGCTACAGCTCACCATTAGGACATGGCGTCCTCTGCACCGTGCACCTCCGTGTCTCCTTGGTCTCAGAGCAGGTGGTGTGGTCCCCCCCGGGAGCATGGAGCACTCGGCGTGTCCGCTCCTCAGAGCCCTTCCGGAAGCCGCAGAGCTTCTTCTTCTTGGAGCAGGGCCCCCATGGGGACCACTCACTCATTTCACATTGTGCTGGCAGGAGGAGAGGGAACAGGAGAGAGGGCAGAGGAGGAGGGGCTCTCCTCCCCCATCCGGAAACCTCAGGGGAGCCTCACCCACCTGCCCTCAGCCTGGCGCTCAGGCCAAACATCTTTAGCCTGGAAGGTAGAAAGGGCCACACGGCAACCTCAGAAGATGGGGTGGGTTAAGCTTTCTGGGCGCAACGTCCCAGCCCATGAGATTTCGGGCAAGATCCCCATCCCGCCCCTCAGCCTGGGGTCCTAGACTCTGCCTGCAGCACCCACTGCAGCTTACCAGGACTGCTGCACTCCATGGTGCCGTTTGTGGGGGTGGAGCCCTCGGGACAGGTTGGGTAGCAGCGACCCTTGTGCAAATACCGGCCCTCCTGACACTTGGTGCAGAAGTTGTGGCTGAAGCAGGCCTCACAGTGCTCAATCTTGCATTCTGTGAACAGGACCAAATGAGGACCTCGGGCCGGCCTGCCACGGACACTCCCCTCACGCCCACCCACATGGAGGCCAGGACTTCGCGGTACATCTGTGATTACAGCTGAGGGGTCCTGGGAGGAGAGGAAAAGCGGCTGTCCCCAAGGGCTGACTGGGACTCTCGCCACCATCAGCCAACCCAGACCTGAACTCAAGATCAAGCCTTGGAACCCAAGATGAGGCCCAAGAGAGCCGGTTTCATTGGTGGAGGGGGCCCCCTGGGCTCGGTGGAGTGTGACAGGAATGTTTTATGGCGTCCCATCTCATGCCTACCCCCAACCAGAGGAACTGAGGAGCAAAGCAGCACCTACAGAGAGGCTGGGTGGACCCCTCTCCCCACATTGTTAGGCATCCACAGCATCCCAGCTCGGCTTCTCTGGGCCTGAGGCAGAAGGAATCCGCTCAGAGGAGCAGGGAGCAATCCCAGGGCAAATTCCTCTTCTTGTGTAAGGCCAAGTTCCAGGACCCACCTTGGTTGGACTTGTGGGTCCCTCCCTGATTCCCTCCCGCCAACTCCCTCCTCTGCGGGGAGGGTGGGTTATGTAGGGCTTGGCTGGGGCCAGGCAGGTCTTTCACAATCCCTCCCTTCCCGGATTGTAGGTAGGGCTGGCTTCATCCCAGTGTCTGGCACCTGAGCCCCAGGCCGTCTGTTTTGAAGCAGCTGGCACAGCCAGGAACCCCCCGCCTCCCAACACCCTGAAGACCGAGAGGACAAACTTCCATCCTGCCAAGCTCCCTGTTCCAGCTTCCTCTGCACCTCCCAACCTCTGTGGCTGTTTCAGCCTCGGCTCCCTCTTCCATCCCTCCTTTCTTCCCCAGTGCTCTGACTCCTGGCTTTGGTTGCTAATAAAATGCATCGAGTGTCACCGTCTCACAACAACCCCAGGGGGGAAATACTACTAGTGGCCTTCTAAAGATGAGGTGCTAGGAGGCTGAGATACGCTCAGGGTCACACAGTGAATAAGAGTTGAGGTTGGAAAGCAGGTGGCTAAGCTGGAGCCCATCACCTCCCCTTCCAGCCCCTGGTGTCAGCCATGAACGGTACTGTCCCTTTCGCCCTGTCTCCCTCCGAAGGTTGTGGTGAGGCTCAACTTTCACGAGATTTGGAAATGTGTTCTAAACCACAAAGTCAGGAACGGATTGGAGGGGACACTGGCATTGTTCGCTCAGGTGTGTTCACTGTGTCCCCTGGTATGTCACAGATGAGGTTACAGAGACGGCGTAGAGAAAGGACAGGCCGTGTCTCAGAGCATGTGGCACTGTAGCTGGTGTGGCACAGGGGAGCCAGAAGACCAAGGGGGAGAAGGGGGTGAAGGAGCAGGCTGGTCAGACTTGGATTTCCCTGCAGCCAGCATGGAGCCCGCAGTGGTCTCCAGCGGAAGTGGGTTGGGATAGGCTGTATTCTCAGAAGCATCTTTCCAGCTGCAGGGCAGAGGGCAGATTGCAGGACAGATGGGCAAGCCCTGCAGAGGTCCAGGGGAGGAGCACTGCTAAGACCACTGCGCGGAGTGGGAAGGAGATGGCTATCGACTGGGTGGGTGGGTGGAAGCAGCACGTGTGAGAGGTTGGCTGTCAGGTCTATGGCTTGGGGGACGAGTGGGGACACAGAGAGTGACCTGCGGGAACAGACATGGGGCAGGTGAGCGGGAGCACGTGGGTTCTGGTTTGGACACAGAGCTGGAAACATGGGTGGGACGTCCGGGGAGATGTCATGCTGGCAGTGTGAGACATGAATCAGGAGCCTCGTCTCTCATCGGTGTCACCTCTGTGTCCCTCACGGCCCACCAATAGTTCAAAGTACCCTCTCCCAGGGTGCGGTCTCCAGGGCCCCTCTTCGGCTTGCCCACACTCACTGATGCACTTGTTCATGTCGGGGTTGCGGGCGTCAAAGTATCCAGGCGGGCAGGACGGCAAGCAGACGCCCACCTGGCGGATGTCGTTCCGCTCCAGCAGGATGAACAGCTTGGGTGAGCACTTGAGGCAGCCGTTGACCTCGGAGCAGAGCTCACAGCCCTTGGCGCAGGCTTGGCTCCCCTCAGCGCTGACTGCAAGGGTGAGAAGGTAGCTGGAGGAGAGAGCGCATCTTTCCAAGGTCCCATAGGGACCCAAGGAGGGTACAGGGAGTTTCATTCCATCCCAGGATTGTGATTCTCAGAAAGCACAGGCCTGGCTGGCAGCTCTCTGCGAAGCCACTTTCTGCACGTCCCCAGCCATCTCTCTCCAGGGATTGAGGTAGATGCCCCGAGCAGGGGCTGTCATCGATCCCACTGCCTTCCCAGCTCCTCCACAAGGGCCTCTTCTAGGCTGGCTCTTTCATCCCCCACCCTTCTTGGAACTTACTTGACTCTCCCCAGAGAAAGGAAAATTCAGCCTCAGGTATGAAAGGAGGGTTTTTTTTGTTTTTTGAAACAGGGTCTCACTATGCAATCCAGGCTGGCCTCAAACTCACAGTGACATTCCTGCCTCAGCCTCCTGGGTACTGCGATTACAAGCATGTGCCACCATGCCTGGCTGATGTCTGATACAGTTTTAAGGGCAAGAGAGAGCATGGATTAAACTAGCTGAGAAAAGAGCCACCTAGCCAGAGAAGGAAAACAACTAAAATAATGTGCGTCTGGAATAGTGGTCCCAATCAGGGATGATTTTGTTCCCCAGGGGACATTTGGCAATGTATAGAGGCCTCTTTTTTTTTTTTTTTTTTTTTTTTTTGTTGTGAATT